ATATATATATATATATATATGACATATGATAATATGTCATATTATCATATGACAGCTAATGGAATCATTAGTTGTCAGCTCTGAAACACAACACTGGGTCCTTTTGCTTCCCTGATAGTCCAAGACATCAGCATAAAACATGAAATGCTTTTGTCCCTGTAAGTGGAAGAGAATGAACTATAAGGACTGCCAGTCAACTCTCCATTTCTCTAATAAATAAAAAGGTCCTGGTGCTTTGTAATTACGTCTGCTGCAGAAACTAATGGTTGAAGAAATGCATATTTACTGACATTACACTCAAGCTAAAGGGTCATGAAGTCTGACAAAGTGTGCTCTAACAATAGATAGGTAAAAGTTTATACACTACATTTATCATTAATATACTTGTCTGAGACAAAGATCAGCTGTCTGATCAAAATCCTGATAGTGATCAACAATACAAAAATTATATGAATTTCAATGTTCAGTTATGCCATTTTTATTTTTTCTTTTGGATTTTACAGCCCTATAGTTTAATCTTCTTAAATTTAGATTTATTGTACTTTGACTCTCTTTCCATATCTTGTGTGTTTGTGTGTGTGTGTGTGTGTGTGTGTGTGTGTGTGTGTGTGTGTGTGTGTGTGTGCTTTAAGAAGTTTTTGCCCTTTAACATTTTCTGTTCTGCATATTTCCACAAGACCTAATGTTCCATGAGAATATTCAATAAAAATAATGACCAAGGTAAACAAAAAAAAACTATTTGGTACATGAACAAACTAATTGGGCTGACCACATTAAATCGTAACTACACACTTCAGTTTTCTTTCATCACTTCAAATTAAAATTTTATTTGCCTTTCATCTTGCTGTAGGTACACCTACATTTCTTCAGTGTAATAAATGGAGATTTCTGTTCTATTCCTTCTATAATATTATTTGAGGAAATTTGTCCAGCTTAGCATAACAGCTTAGTTCTGTTTACTGAGGCCGACTGCTAGGATCCCTTCTGTGGAGCTCCATCCACAGAAGGTCCATCCATCGAGAGCTCAGCTCTGAATGAACACATGACACTGGCATATGTAACTCAGTGGGCCCGTATTATATGAGCTCTGGTAGGTTCATTTAGGAAAAAAGAAAAAAAGCCAAGCAGTCAAGGAAGGGAGCTGAAAAAAGGAAAGTGGCAAAGGACTGCTTTTGGACAGTAACAACATGAAGGAATTTATTAACTCATCTTATGAACAAATGAATTGCCTGTTTTGTTCACCACAGGCACAACCTATTTGGTCGGCTTCCCAGTTCTTTGGTGTGAGCGCAGCCTCATTAAAAAGCCCGTCACATCTTGTCAAGTAGTCACAGGATGAACTGAGCGCGCTCACCAGGAGCACAAACGACGAGTACTCACTCACATTTTATCATGTGACAAAAAACACAAGTACTATTCATACAGATGAAAGCCAAACTCTTCTAAGAAACTTTTATAAGACTTTAGAAATGAATTACCATAACTTGATTCTTAAACACTGACTGACAGAAACGGTAAATCATGTCAGATGATGTTGACTCTGACATAATTGCAGATGTAATTAAAACAAGTCTTAATTTGACAAGCCTCGATCAGTTTCAGGCTGCAGGGGCCGGCAGCAGTCTGCTTCTGGAGACACACTGCATAGCAACCACATGCAAATCAGCAAACCCTACTCTGTCTTACTCAAACCTAAGAGCAACTCATTTGCTCCTTTAACTTCCAGCACAAAACATTCAAATAAAATGACTGAAGAAAAAGAGGTGAGGCACACTGATCTTACCAGAGGAATGTCCTCGATTTGTGGCATCATGGTCACTGTCTCCTTGCTCGCTATCTCCGTGGCCACTGTCTTTAGAGCTGACCAGGTCTGCCTCCTGGAAGGCTGAGCTAAAATCACAGAACATCAAATCAAAATCTCAACACTGATCTTTCTGGTACAGTCTCATATCCATGGTGATGAGGCATTTAGTAGATGAAACCGGTGTGGAAAAGGCCTGAGCAGCAGCAGGCTGCAGCAGGAAGCCCTGCCTGTATTTACCTGTTGACACGCCTCGGCCTCTCCACCAGGTAGCTGAGTTCAGTTCGCTGGTGTTTGGTCTGAAACAAGAAGGAGTGGTGTTCAGTCTGTTGCTCCAGCATTACATGCAACACAGTTAAAGAAAAATGCAGCAATCAAAAATAGGAATAACCAAAAATATAGAAAAGTTTTAAAAAGGCAAAAAAGGATGTATTTCAGCAACAATACAACACACACTGTGTCACAATGATCAGGGCAGTAAAAACTAGAGCTTTTCTCTTCCATATGATGCGGAGTGTGTGCACGGTTCGGACTCTAGACTTGGGATGCTTCAGCATATAACAAGGCTGCCACTCAACAACATTCTGACAGATTAGCAGAATGCAAATGCATCAAAGTAGCAGAGTAGCATGTGTGTTATGTGTGTCACTCACACACACACACACACACACACACACACACACAGCTCTCTATGCAGTTAACAGCAGCCTCTGAGCAAATACAGCTGAAAACATAGGAGGCAATAGCTAAATGATTTTGTTTCTTTGATTTTATTACTTATTGCTCTGTGTTTGAATAAAATGAACAATTTCTTTCATTCTACAGACATTTATCCCAAACTCCAAATAAACATTATGAACATTTTTGTCTACAAAGGAAACATTAACAATAATAAAAATGCTGCACTTTGAAATAACACAAACACATTCAAATTCCTTTTTATATCACATAGCACTAACGTTCCAACTGTGGAAGCGTTCATAAAATAATGCTTGGTGGAATAAGCCTGATTTTCATTCTTTCACATCATTACTGGATTCGGGTGTGTAGAGGTACTGATTAGGGACGGTTCGCAGTGGCCTCAGTTTTCTGCAGCTGTATGTTTTATGTATGTAAGAGGCCCTTCATGCACTGACAAAATAGTTTTGAAGATAGGAGTAAAAAACAAGCACACATTATGTGTTCAGGGCAGACCTCCCCTGCAACAGATAAACACTGTTGTTCTGTCTTGCCCTGAAATCTGCCAGAAGTCACTGTCCTATGACGCATTGCTGTATCACGCCTTATCAACAAACTGTAACTCCAGCAAGCTACTGGCTCCTGCATGTGATTAACATAAAGGATCACATCAGAAAACAAGAAGACCAGTTTCAGAAATGGGTTTTCAGTATGCTAATGGAAGGGAAAATTCAGTCATAGGAATGAGAGGGACTCTTACCTCGTTTGATAAAATGCTGCCGTTTGATATGATGTCAGGCTGCTGGTCTGTGTACCCTGACCCTATGGCACCACACGGGTTGTGATCGGTGTCTGTGCTCCTAGATGGACTACACGGCTTTAGGAACATGAGGTCAGTTTTGGCAGACTCTGGAGTCAGACATACCTGATAGCAATAGTTCTGGTTTTGATGGTGGGAGCCGAAGCTCCCAGACTCTTCCACAGGGACTTGAGCCGTTCCAGGCCCGCTGACATTCACAGTGCTTTGCACAAGCATGATGTCCGCCTTGCTGAGCTTTTTCTTGCGGGATCTACCCTGCCGTGAGCAGCAGGAGTTGCATCCAAGAAAGCAGTCACTAGTTAGGCAGGTATAAATGTTGAGCTTTTTGTCCTTCTGGCAGCGCACGGCCAGCACAATCATTACAAGGAGAAAGATGAAGGAGACAGAACCGAGGGCAATGATTAGGATGAGGGTGAGGTCCAAAGCACCATCTTTGGCCTTGCTGGTGCCCACTTTGTCTCCCACACCCCGGCCTTCAGCCATGCTGTCTACCAGCATCACCAGTATGCTGGCACTGGAGGACAATGGAGGCTGGCCATGGTCTCTCACCTCAATCACCAGGTCGTACTGCTGGTGAGGGTCTCGCTTAGCTGATACCCGCCTTGCTGTCCTGAGTTCACCAGTCCTCCAGTCCATCCTAAACATCCCATTGTCGTTACCTCTCTGAATGCTGTAGGACAGGCGGGCATTCTCACCATCATCAGCATCCATGGCCACAACACGGGTCACCAGGTAGCCTGGCTCAGCCGAGCGGGGAAGGGGTTCCTTCGCAGTCCCATTTTTCCCCAGGGGAGCAAGTACCAGGGGTGCATTATCATTCTGATCAACAATTATGACTTTGACAGTTGCATTAGAGGAAAGCTCAGGGGCACCGGAGTCCTTGGCCCTGACCATAAAGGTGAAATCTTTTAGCTGCTCATAATCAAAAGACCTGAGTGCGTAAAGGTATCCTGTCTCCTCGTTGATAGACACATAGGTTTTAACTGACATGCCCTGAATGTCGCACTCTAAGATGGAGTAAGTAATGAGAGCGTTCTGCCCTATATCAGGGTCCAGGGCCGTCACGGCGTGGATGTAGGCTCCTGGTACATTGTTCTCTGTCACATACACATCATAAACGGATTGCGTGAAAGTGGGCGCATTGTCGTTTTCATCTGACACCTGGACGCGGATGGACTTACTAGAGGCGAGAGAAGGAGTTCCTTTATCCCGCGCCACCACGGTCACGGAGTAGGAGTCTGCCTGCTCCCGGTTCAGGAGCCCATCAGTCACTATGGTGAAGTAATTCCTGAAAGAGGACTTTAATTTGAACGGGACATCACCGAGGATTTCCACATGGATCTGTCCGTTCTGCTCTGCGTCACGGTCCGTCACACTCAACAGGGCAATGACGGTACCGGGAGCGGCTTTTTCACTCACCGACTCCGTGACAGTGCTGAAGGTGATTTCCGGTGCGTTGTCGTTCACGTCCGCCACTTTGACCAACACTTTACAGTGCGCGGGCACGGCGTTTGGCCCGAGGTCCTTAGCCTGGACAAAGATCTGATAGAGGCTGCTCTCTTCGAAATCCACCTCCCCGCGGACTTCGATGCGCCCGGTCCGCGGGTCTATGCCGAACAGCTCCTTAACGCGACTGGAGATGTGGTTGCTGAAGGAGTAAACTATTTCCCCGTTCAGTCCCTCATCGAGGTCGGTGGCGTTCAGCTGGATGACCAGTGTGCCCACCGGTACATTCTCCGAGAGACTCACCGTGTAGACGGGCTGCTCAAACACGGGCACATTATCGTTAGAGTCCAACACTTTGACTACCAGCAGCGCGGTGCCAGTCCGAGGAGGCTGTCCGCCGTCCACCGCAGTGAGCACGTACCTGTGCGCTGCCTGCTGCTCCCTGTCCAGCGGCTTCTCCAGGACAAGTTCTGCAAATTTATTTCCGTCGGTTTGGGTCTGCACGTCCAGGTAAAAGTAATTGTTGGTTGTGATATCATATGTGCGCAACGCGTTGGAGCCCACGTCCGGGTCGAACGCACTCTCCAAAGGGAACCGGGTGCCAGGGGTTGCGCTCTCTGAGATTTCCACTATGATGTCTGTCTCCGGGAAGCTCGGTGGGTTGTCGTTAATGTCCACCACTTCGATTTCGACCCTGAACAGCTCCAGTGGGTTCTCCAAGAACACCTCCATGTTGAGCTGGCAGCTGGCACTCTGCTTGCAGATTTGCTCCCTATCGATTTTCTCGTTAACGAACAGGACGCCGTTCTCAAGGTTCACTTCCAGATATGGCGTTCTGGAACTAGGCACTACCTGGAATCGCCGGGAGGCCAGTTTGGTAAGGTCCAGGCCCAGGTCTTCAGCGATGTTCCCCACCAGCGTGCCATGCTCTGCCTCCTCCGGGACAGAGTAGCGGATCTGAGAGAGCGCTCCATCCGTAAAACACAGAGCTATCAAAAACACAATCATGACCGGAAAAACAAGTGCACTTGGGTAAAAAAGAAATAAATTCATCAGCAAAAAGCATTAATCTCACTGTCTTCTGAAGACAACAAATCTCAACATTCTCCGGCCACTATAGCTAGCAAGTGAAACTCTCCACAGTGCGTCAAAGTCCAAAAATAGGGAAGGCGTCTGGAAAATGGAGTCCCTTTAAAAAAGAGACATTTGGGTCTTTTGGAGAAGTTCTGTTTTTTTATCAGCTCAGTTATTTCGGAGCTCCACTGTCAGGTTGTTCAGAGGCGTCCTGAAGCTTCCAGTAGTTTTGTGCATCCTCACTCAGCCTGTAATCCACCGAGCAGACAGGAGTTCGCCTTCTTCACATCCATGGACCCAGTCAGGAAAAACGAATCACGCTGTTTTTACTCGGGCTGTGCTGATGATGCTGTAGTCCTCTTCACTCTGTACTGATGCTGCTCACTCAACTATTTGCTTTTTCCTCCGCATCGCGCCTCCTCCCGCGTCCCCGCGGCTGGAATTTACACTGAAGGCTCTCTCCTGATTGGTCTCTTTGCCTGCCTGTCAGAGTCCGTTCGGCCAGCCTCTCACTCACTGCTTCTGTCTCTCTTTACCTCCCTGTGAGCTCGGAATGTTTCCCTTAAGACGCATAAAAAATGGAGATCTTGAAGCTGAAGTTAACATTTACAGAAATCAAGTGATAAGCTGACAAATTGAGGCCCTCCTCCTGACACCACTAATGCAGCAGAGTGTGATCAGAGTGAGTTCAGCACTTGTTGACACGGTGGCAGGACCTTTGTGAGCCCAAGGATATGCTGGGCGATCCGGGTTAATGCATGCAAATGTTGTGATATGCATGCAGTGAATCATTCGCCATTCATGTGCTGCTCTCAAGGCTGTGCTCTATAATTACACCCAGCAGTCTTGACGTTATTATTTCTCAACCAGCCACACAGCAGCAGCACAGAGAGGCAAGCAGACGCTCTTATCCGCGGAACGCATGCGACCCCTTGCGGCGAACTCTAAGCAGTGATTTAAAAACCTACCTGACAAATGATGTTTATTGTGATTCTGGTTATTTTAAGACATAGATTAATACCATCCTTAAAAAGAAGGAAAACACAAATCAGCACTGTGTTTTTTGTATTTATTTATTTTAGAGCGACAGTTTTCATGTTTCAGCCACCTGGCTCTCATTCTAAGAGAAAATGTACGTGGAAATAAAAAGAAAGCTAATGGAATGAGTTCCTAAAAGATTTTAAGTAGTCACCTCTGACTACATCGCTCTAGGTTAGCATTACAAACCTGTGCTAGTTTAATATTTAGTTGCAGCTATCTTTAAACCTTTTCACATTTATTTCACCATCAAAGCATCTGATAAAGATCACTTGATATTATTTTGGAAAGTAATCAAATTTGGTATTTACCCTTTTATACATGTATATGTGCAATCTTTCTCTGCTTTTGTTTTACTTTTAAATTTATATTCTCTGTTTTTCATTCTTCCTTTGTTGTGTTTCTCTCCTAGATGAAGCCACCAAACTACTGCTATTCACTTTTTTTCTTTCATGATGAAAACACTAAACGACTGCTATTCATTGTTGTTGTTTTGTTTAGTTTTTTCATGCAGAAAGTACTCCTGGGACTGAGCTGGGTTTTGCTGAATGTTACTGTCTGTTACAGGGGAGTTTTCCTTTTTGTTGCCCTGGACTCTTTTTTGGGAGGAATCGTCTTGAATAACCATGAAAACTGGGTTAAAATCATCAGTCCAATTTAATAAAGCCAAATAAGCGATAGCATTGTTCTGGGACAACAGAGAAATAGTTTACTGTTACAGCTCTGGTACATCGCCATGCTTACATATGGAAAACTCAGAAAATGGCACCGAACAACAGCTTTGATTCCTTTTCTAGGCCTCTTTCTAAGCTACACCATAAGGAGGGCATTCTCTTATGAAGTCATTTCCTTTACCACACATGTGTATGCAAGCATGCAAGCAACTAAAAGAGATAGAGGAAAAACACAGAATCATTTATCCATGACAATCAACCTGATGAGGTGGTTCAAATACCACCCCACCCAAATCGCTACATGAGGTGCATTTGGATCCTAAGCTAAAATGTGGCAGGACATCCTGACGTAGATATTCCACCACAGAACTGGCTGTTGCATAGTTCTGTGGCCCCCCACACACAATGTCTCCAGTCTCCAGTAATGGCCCCCAGCCCTCAGTATTGCAACACCCTGGACACATCCCACAACATTAAAACTATGTTAATGTGATGCTAAGATTGAAATGATTAAACATGGCAAAAATATTACACATTAAAAGAAAAGGAGGAAAAGAAGAAGCAAAGTAACACCTGTGGAGGATAAAGTTATAAAAAGGAAAATCTATTAGCACAGCAAAATAAGCATGTACAATATATAAGATTAGTTAATATGTTGATCTGACCCAAAACTACTAGATTTAAATCATAATTCAGAATCTCTATCAACAGTGCTAAGAAGTTGGCATTCTGGGGGAGAACAGTTGGTCCGGCGTGGATCCACCAAACCTTTCCTCAAGCAGACCTGACAGGTCACCTGCACACAAATAGTTAGTCGTTATAACATTGTGTATCTTACCTCCATCTGGTATTCTGGTGGTGGACTCAGGCCTTTGATTTTTATGACTCCATTTATCATTTTGTTTCTCCATTTTCCAAACAAGTTTCCAGAAATACCAGTGTTGTAATTCCTATTCCTTTTTCAAATCCAGTAGCCCATTTTTTGTATGTAATTTGGCATGGCATGAGGACATATTCCTTTTCCCCGTGAAGATATGGTCAAATTATCAATTTGGAATCACCAGAGTCTATGTTATTATTTATAAGATAATTGTTGAAAGACGACAGATATTTTGAGGTGCTTCGGGAGTTTTCCATATCAGCAGTCCAAGGTTCAATACAGAATATTAAATGTTTTAAATTTTAAGTTTCATCTCTATAATATCTCCTGTGTTTTCTTCTCTTAAAAGAAAACAATTTTATTTTAAGACACATTGCAAATAAGAGTCTGTATTTGATAGATGTGAATTAAGAATTTTATTTTGATACATCATGTTTAGGATTTTACCTATTAAAACTTTTTAGTTTTTTTGACATGTTTCTAAATATTCCATATTGATCCTTCTACTTATATGTCTCACTTTTAAGTAGATCTGGTAATAAAGGCTCATCCCATCAGTGCTATCTTCCCACTTTTTTATGAGTTTTATAAATGAATAACATTTTAGATTTAGAAGGAATAATTTTTAAGATTTGCAGTGATTTGAAGTATATCTGCCCTGATTTTAACCTCATTTTCACTCCACAAAAGAAGAAAAAGTGCATCAAAATTTTGTTTTCTAGTTTCATTATGAAAGGTAGAATTTTAAACATTTACCAATGAAGTGACATTTCTAGGGGTGCAAAACTGCAAGAGTTACTCCATTTTCAGTTCTATTTTGTATTTGTTTTTATTTTTACAAAATCCTGAGTAAAATCCTGTTACTGCACTGACAGATGATTCTGTTAAAAGTAAAGTTTTATGTCAAAACACAATTTATTTAGTCATTGTTATTTTATAAGTCTTCCTTGCAGTCCTTAACTGTCAAAAATAATTTTATCCAATGCAAAGCCGGAGTACCACATATGTAGTAGTTCAATTATTTTCTAAAATCATATCACTCACCAGCAGTTTTGTTAATTTTCTTTTTTCTGTTTCATTTTATTGATTTTCAGAACTTTATGTAAACAAATTTCAAAAACAAACAAAAACAACCTGTTCCAAATCAACACAGAACACTGCACTGTCTGCGAATGTACAGCCTACATACACAAAGTATAGACTTGAAGTAGAGAGTCAAACTGTCAAAGGACAGAAGAGTAATAACTCATTGACACATGCAAAATAATGAATTTACACCTAAAAATCCTGGTGTATGGTCCAATAAAACAATAAGCTCTGTGTTACAGCTCCAAACAGAATGCAAAAATTACGTGGGGAGAAATAAATTATCTAATCTGAAGAAGGTTATGGGGATGTAAATAAAATCCATAGTCCCTTACTTTATTATTTAGATATCTATCAGACCAGTGTCTGAACTTACATTTTTAAGGGCAGCTGAAGCATTTGGGTTTGGCAGCTTTGCAGAGGAGGACCTTTCTAAAGATGTGTTCATTGTGCAATTAAAATCACTGGCCAAAAAGCCAATTTCTTTGCAATGATTACAAAATCATTTGTGACATAAGTTGAGACGAATCATCATTAGGAGCAGTTATACGTTGTCCATGAACTGAGCCCTTAATAAAGATAAATTTCCCCTCCAAGTCCTTCTCCAGAGTAAAGAGAAGATTTTTGTGTATAAGAATGGGTGTACCCTTCTTATTTTGTGAATGGGAAAAAATATATATGATACCCAATCCCTTTTAAGTTTCAAAATTTAAATTGGCAAGGTTCTGACCTTACTGGACCCTCACATTAAGGTCAGAACCCTGAACCCAAAAATGGTCACCATGGTCACCGGTGTGTGCACAACTAAAACGGTAGGCAGAACGTTTTTCTGCTGGCGGTTTGTTTTCTAAACATCTGACTGCAAAGCTCGATTGTTGTTCACCTGTTTCTGGCCTCCAAATGTGTGACCATATGCAGGGGTGACATTTACTTAGTCATTGTGTAAAACCTGTTATACTAAGATGTTTTGGGTCTGAGGCGACAGAGCATAAATCTAAATAATCAATTAAATCAAGTACTAGTCTGATATCAGAATATGCTTGTTTTTCATGAAGATTGAGTCTCAATTATATAAATGTTATTATTTTAGCAAATATTAACCCAAATATTTTGTAGAGTAGATTTTTTTTGGGGGGTGGGGGTATTAGAGTAATGAGACCTTGGGTTGGAGTAGTAAGAAGAGATTTATTGTCCACGTCATGATGTGTTCTGTATGTGGGTCTTTTGACCCACATACAGAACACAAACAGGAGTCTATGAAATCAGGTAAATGGTTTATTTTGAAACAAAGATGAATTGTGAGATGTGTGGTTCTTGTCCTGTGGGTGGGAAGCCGGGGTCACCAGAACACTGAGGGTAGTTGGAGAGAAAAGGTAAGTTGACGGTAAACTGAACAGATTGATTTCTGAGAAATGGAATGACCCTACTTGGTTGGGAGATGAATTTCCGCCAGAGAGAGAAATACTGTGGTTTCCAGGGATTTGGTCTCTTTGCAGGGAGTTCTTGAGATGATCTGGATTCCGATGTTTGGTCTTGACGGAGAGTTCATTGGAGGTGGATGGACGAGGCTTGCGATGGAGGGTGGACAGGTAAGTTCTAGTGAGGAGGAGCGAGGAGCGGTCCGATAGCCAGCCATGAAATGAGAAACTGTCAGAGAATCTTCAGCTGAGAAGGAGATGGACTCGAGCAACCGGTGGGTAAGGTCCACAGCATCACGAGAGGAAACCAGAATGCAAGAAACTCAGGCTACACAGTGGGTAAAATCCAAGGTGCCACAATGAAACGCCTGACAGGAGAGCAACAGATAAGTGTTATGAGAGATAATCATAGAAAAATTCAGAGACCAGACTCAGCGGGGCGTGGGGTACCATAACAGGCAAACACTAAGGCATCGAAGTGCTGGCAGCCCACTCCTCATATAGTCCAAGATGAAAAAGTAGATTGATCACAGGTGTGCTGAATCCAAACAGGCGGCACCCCTCCAGGTAGCTGCAGCCTCTTGGCACCATTTAGTGGATGATGAAAGAAGCAGAGACAACAGAAACTCCCCACAAAGACCCAAAAACCGCAGTTTGCAACAGTCTTTACATTCTTAGAAAAGTTCATGGAGGAAGGATGCAAGCTGTTTGGAGAAAATGTATACAATTCAGAAGTAAGACCATCTGTACCAGAGGACTTATTGGATTTGAGGTGTTAAATAGTGAAAACTATTTCCTGTAATGATATTGGCTCATCACAAGATTCCTTCAAGTCAATGTCAATGTTTTTAGTTTCTGTA